GTTGGCCAGGCTGGTCTCAAACTCCTGACCTCAAGTAATCCGCCCACCTCAGCCTCCCAAAGTGCTGGGACAACCGGCATGAGCCACCACACCCAACCAACCATTTCTTTAATAATATATTTAGGAGAAGATCTATTCACTTGTGTGCTGGCTCACTAGGTGCCAGGCCCTGTGCAAGGCAGTTCACGTTCTTACAAAACTATGGAGCAAATATTCTATTTTCCACATAAGGAAAGTGTGATTCAGACAGGTTAATTCACTTGCTCAAGGTCACACAGCCAGGAAGAGCAGAATTTGAACCAGGTCTGTCTGAGCCCAAAGGCTGGGCTGGTTCTGTCTCCGGCAACTGCTAGTTAGCACCTCCCAGGGACTTAACTTCTTTCTGCAGGTTAACTCAGCACTCTCTGAAGCCTGAGGAGGTACAGGATAGGGTTTGTTTGTTATTTTTATTTTTTGAAGACAGAGTCTGATTATATCACCTAGGCTGGAGTTCAGTGGCGTGATCTCAGCTCACTGCAACCTCCACCTCCCGGGTTCAAGCAATTCTCCTGCCTTAGCCTCCCGAGTAGCTGGGATTACAGGTACAGCTAATTTTACTTATTTATTTATTTTTTTGAGACGGAGTCTCACTCTGTCGCCCAGGCTGGAGTGCAGTGGTATAGTCTCGGCTCACTGCAACCTCTGCCTCCTGATTTCAAGCGATTATCCTGCCTCAGCCTCCCGAGTAACTGGGACTATAGGCGTGTGTCACCACGCCCAGCTAATTTTTGTGTTTTTAGTAGAGATGGGGTTTCTCCATGTTGGTCAGGATGGTCTTGATCTCTTGACCTTGTGGTCCACCTGCCTCGGCCTCCCAAAGTGCTGGGATTACAGGCATGAGCCACCGCGCCCAGTCAATTTTTGTATTTTTGGTAGAGGGTTTCGTCATGTTGGCCAGGCTGGTCTCGAATTCCTGACGTCAGGTGATCCACCCACCTCAGCCTCCCAAAGTGCTGGGATTACAGGTGTGAGCCACAGTGCCCAGTTATCAAGTCATCATTTTATTTAAGAAGCTTGGGGCTCAGTGAAGGAAAGTGATTTTCAAAAGTCACCAAGTGCCTGCAATCCCAGCCCTTTGGGATGTGGAAGTGGGAGGATTGACCAGGAGGTGGAGGCTACAGTGAGCTATGATTGTGCCACTGTCCTCCTGTCTGGCCAACTGAGCAATACTCCGTCTCAAAAATAAATAAAAAATAAAAATAAGAGTCGCACAGCAAAGTAGTAGCAATATTGAGACTAGGACCAAGGTCTCTTGACTCCGAGTCAAGTGCTCCTCCTACTACTTCCCGTACATAGTATTCTTTATCACTTCCAAAATGACATTCCTAGCTGGGTGCAGTGGTTCACACCTGTAATCCCAGCACTTTGGGAGGCGGAGGCAGGAGGATTGCTTGAGCCCAGGAGTTTGAGACCAGACTGGGCAACATAGCTAGAACCCATCTCCACAAAAAAATTAAAAAAAGAATTGGCCGGGCGCGGTGGCTCAAGCCTGTGCTGTAATCCCAGCACTTTGGGAGGCCGAGACAGGCGGATCACGAGGTCAGGAGATCGAGACGTACCTGGCCGAACACGGTGAAACCCGTCGTCTACTAAAAAATACAAAAAACTAGCCCGGGTGAGGTGGCGGGCCTGTAGTCCCAGCTACTCCGGAGGCTGAGGCAGGAGAATGGCGTAAACCTGGCAGGCGAGCTTGCAGTGAGCTGAGATCCTGGCCACTGCACTCCAGCCTGGGCGACAGAGCGAGACTCCGCCTCAAAAATAAAAAAAAAAAAAAAAAATTAAAAAAGAATTAGCTGGGCCTGGTGGCATACACCTGTAGTTTCAGCTATTTGGGAAGCTATGGTGGGAGGATCGCTGAGTCCAGTAGTTGGAGGCTGCAGAGAGCCATGATTGCGCCACTGCCCTCCAGCCTGGGCAACCAGAGGTCAGGACCCTTTCTCCAAAAAACAAAAACCATTGGCCAGCTGCAGTGGTTCACGCCTATAATCCTAGCACTTTGGGGACCTAGACGGTGGGATCACCTGAGTCAGGAGTGCAAGACCAGCCTGGACAACACGGTGAGACCCTGTCTGTACTAAAAATACAAA